TGACTTCCGCAGTAATTTGGTTTGGTTGGATCGGCAACGCGGGACCTCTCTATCGGTCCTCATTTTACTATCTCACAATTTCTTTTAAAGGTTCGTCTTGATTGTTTGAAAAAAATTTTTAATTTAAATAAAAAAGTTACAAATGATAATTAATAATAAATTATGAACCAACACTAATATAATATACTTTGTTGGAATCTGTCTCAATGTAAGTTGGATCTTGGTGTTCATCCCCTTCTTCCTGTGTTTATATTTACAAAAAAAGTTTTTTTTATTGTTATAAAATATAAATCAAATTGGTGATCCATTTTTTGGAATTGAAGAAATTGAAAATATGCTTTTTATTTTATTTTTTGAATTTATTACACGAAAATCCTGATTGGTGACACTGTGAATCGAGGAATTACACAGTAATTACCCAAAATCCGAAATCACACAAAATTTCCCCTAGCGGGGAAATTTGTGTAATTCCTGGATCTTTGGGCAATTACTAATACTAATAATTTGATTTTTTGGATAAACCATCAAGTCACATTATTTTAAGAACTTTATTAACCATTGAAAAAATGAACTCAAGCTTTCAAATTAAGCATAAATTACAGATGATAATGAAGTTTCAATTGATAAAAAATGAACAAAAAACAACTTATCTTTTCTTGAAAAACATAGAATTTGCAAAGAGCTTTTAGTTAAACCAACACAAGAAGAATTAGCAGCTAAGTATAATGTCACTCAATCAGCAATCTCTAAAATTTTTAAAAATAAGGATAAATATCTTGCTTTAGATTCAGAAACAATAGACTTAAATAAAAAAAGAAATCATCGAGCTGCATTTCCTGAAATTGAAGAAGCAGTTGTTATTTGGTTCTCACATGCTCGCATTAGACTTTAGAGATTTGCTTCAAATTAATAAGTTTACAGCATCTGATGGTTGGTTGCAAAAATTTAAAAAGAGATTTAATGTACAATCTTTTATGAAATCAGGAGAAGGTCAGAGTGCACCACTTGATACATTAGAAGATGAATGTGTTAAATAAAAGATATCATTAGGCAATATGATTTAAACAATGTATTTAATGCAGACAAGACAACATTGTATTAGGAACTTGAACCATCAAAAACATTAGCAACTGGACCTGTTGTTGGTACCAAGAAATCAAAAAATTGAGTTACTATAATGCTTACATGCAATGCATCAGGTAGTGTTAAATTTAAACCACTGTTTATCCATCGATTTAAAACTCCTCAACCACTTTGTGGCATTAATAAAGAAAGCTTACCAGTAAGTTATTACTGGAATTCTACTGCTTGGATGCAGCTTTCTATTTGGGAAG